AACAGGAAAATGAACTTACATTTTTTAAAGAACCCTTCGAGTAACTGAAAAGAGAGATTCAATTGTTAAAAGAAAATTCCAAAGAGAAATATCTGTGTCTACTCCTGTTGATTTTGCCCGGAGATAAATTAACAAAGGACAGTTTTTATAATGCAGCCAAAGATATGAGAAGTCTGGAAAATCAAAATGACGAAAAATATTCTGATATCAAAGCAATGGGAAATGAAAGCAGAAACATATGTAAAGAAGAGGATGACATTGACCATAGCGAAAATAAAGAATGCAACGAAGACAAGAAATGTAGCGATGATGAAGATGCTGATGAAGATGTCAATTATCAAAACCTTCATTATCACGAGGAAATAGTTTATATTGACGACACCATGCTTAATGATCTATTGAAAACAATTAATACAGTATTCCTAGGAACACCTCAAAGATTGCTCTCTTTCAATGTTTAAAGTCTCTCCGGAGGCATTATTTGTGCAAAGAGTCAACAAAACTTTTAAAATAACAGATGACTCTTTTCTGCCTGCCTTGACTAGTGTATTTTGTAATGACATTTCAGAGCAGTTCACATCGCTGCAAACTTCCTCCACACTGATATGTTATCACTTATTCAAAATGGTGAATGTGATGTGAATTTCGTTACTAAAAATAATGAATCGCCCCTTTTCTTGGCAGGAGCAGCCAACAAATACACTCTTCAGAATATCCCCTGGAATTGTAACAAAGAATTCAGTGAAAACCTTAACGCGATAGTGGAAGAAAAGCGTATGCAGATATTGACTCTACTTGTTCAAAAAGGTGCAGATGCTAATATCCATCCGGTAAATCAACGTTCGGCTCTTGCCTCTTACTGTCAGAGAAAAAAACAAAGACATCGTTCGGTTTTTGCTTGAGAATGGTTCAAATGAAAATGACACTAGTCGAGATGCTTTTGGAGAAAGGTGCAAATGTAAATATAAAAAAAAACTCAAGAGGACTTTCGCCGTTATATTTAGCTACATTAAAATGAAATGAGAACGTGATCAAGCTGTTACTCTCGAATGGGACAGATGATGAACTAAAAGAAAAGGTCGGATACACTCCCTTCTTTATAGCCTGTATGGAAGGCCATGCAAAAATTGTCAAAATGTTTCTTCAGCACAATCCATGCATAAATTGTACATTAAGAAACGGTACCACGGCAGTTATGGTAACCGTTGATAACGGCCATCAAAAATTGTCGAGATGCTATTAAAATTGGCGCTGACGTGAATGTAGTTCGAAAGAAGAATATGGTAAGTCCCTTATATTCTGCAGCCGCCCGTGGATACGTCTCAATATTAGAAGCATTATTAAACTGTGGCTTGCATATAAATCTGAAAACAATACAAGATGACACTCCCTTAATTGTTGCCTCCTCAAATGACCAGCGTTCAGCTTCTACTGAAGAATAAAGCAAATGTAAATCAAGCAAACCATTTTTGAGAAAACCGCTGTTCATTTTGCGGAGAGAAAGGCCATCTTGATATAGTTTTGTTATTGCTAAAGAACAAAGCAGAAGATGATTTAACTACAGGTTCTGGGAACACTCCATTAATATGAGCCTCGTGTTGTGGACATAAAAATGTTGTGCAGGAACTTCTAAATCATGGGGCTGATGTAAATATGCTTGGCGATCTAGGGGCTTCCGCTCTTTTTGTTGCTTCAGAGCATGGACATTTTGAAGCTGTAAAACTTCTTTTAGCAAATAATGCTACTGCGAATTTAGGCACAAAGCATAGGGGAAAGCCATTGTTTATTGCATCAAGATTTGGTCACCATGAAATTGTTCAAAAACTGATAATTCATGGTGCTAAGGTTTATGGAAAGGGCTTGAGAAATCCCCTCTTGGCCCCATCGTATTCTGGATACGAAAAAACTGTTGCGTTGCTCATTAAAATTGGGCAAATTTAAACGAAAAGATCACGAGGGACTCACTCCTTTGACGAATGCCTCCAGAAGAGGCTGGATAGATGTCGTCAAAATTTTGCTAAAGAATGGAGCTGACGTAAACATATGCGATGACGAGGAAGAAGAAAATGCTCTAGATATGGCATGTTCATTCAGATATCGTGAATCTTTTACTGGATCATGGTATGGATATCAATAACAATGGTAATGACGAGAGTTACACACATTTAATGCATGCTTTGGAGGGCAGCCATCTTTCAACAGCCTTACTACTGTTGGATCGTGGTGCTGATGTACATACTAATGTTCATGGTACAACAGCTCTATTTTTGGCTTTTTCTGCCGGCTTCAAGGAAGTCGTGGATATTCTACTAGAGCACAAATCCGAAGTCAACCCGAAAGAAGCTGATGGTTCTTTAGCTGAGTCTCCACTTTCTGCTACTGTCAAAGAAGGTCATTATAAAATAGTAAAAGATCTCCTACAATGCGGTGCTAATATCAACGATTTGAACTGTTCAGGTTTTGTTTCTAGAACCCTGTTAATGCAAGCAGTTGGAAACTAAAAACGAAGGCATACTAAAACTACTCATTGAATACGGAGCCAATATCAATTCAGAAAATGATGAAGGTTATAGAGCTTTACATACAAGTGCTTATCTTAACTCAAATGCTAAATTAATGTCAGTTTTACTACTAAAAAAAAACAACGCCGAGGTGAATTTTTGCAATCACACCTCTGATGATGGCTCTGCATAGAAGCTGTATAATGAAGGAGTGCATACAGGCACTGGTTAATCATGGTGCAGACGTCAAAGCGCGTGATAGTTTTGGAGATCATATTTTACATTATGCTGCTAAATGCTTCGAGGGACATACTGTTATTCCTCTTCTTCTTGAACGTGGTGCTGACATTAATGTACTCAATGAAAATGGATGGACAGCTCTCCATGAAACAAGCAATAGTGGCTATTATAAATCCATCGAAGCACTTCTTCAGTATGGAGCAGACATGACCATTCGCTCAAAAACGGTCTCACTACACTAGATATTGCTGAAAGCGGAGGACATAAGAAGGTCATAAGAATTCTTTCTGAAAAACTTAGATGGAGTGGAGTGAAGAAAGAAGGATCGATTTCTTCTTCATCTTTGAACAGTTATTCCCGTACCTTAGGTAGGGCTGTTGTGCTCGCTAGAAGAAATCCATAAGGGCATGTTTTACCACGAAGACATGGATTAGAAAAATTAGAGAAGACTCGGTAATGAAATATTGAAAATATAGAAATTTGGGTTTAATTTAAAAGATAGAGATGCATTTTAAATTTCACTAACCATATTCCACATGAAAAGCACTTACCTTTGTATAATAAACACATTGTAATTTGATGTTTTTTTAATAAAATGTTCAGAAATGCATCAAATAAATTGATTAAAAAATACAAACGAAGGATTAATCGACGTTTTATATTATAAAGGATCGATTTTGTTATACATGTAATATATACTGAGTAGTTTAACTTACTGGTGGGTATTCAAGTGAGATTACTTTTTGCTTCATTATAAGTCCCTCCTTACTCCTTTTTTACACAAAATAGATCGAATCGTATTTCACATCTGAATTACTATGAAATATAATTTTCATGGACATTATTTTTTTTAATTAAGTTTTGTGCTGCAAAATGTCCAAAAACGATGAAAAATGTTGATGCGTCCCGAAAATCTAGAGAGGTCAGAAACCGCGCCAAACATGTTTTATCTAGAATTTCCGTGTAATTCCGGGGCGCCCTACATTTTTCATCGTCAGAAATCCGCGCTTCCATTGCTTTCGATTTCTGTACTTGGTATAAAGGACGTTATGGGTTTACTGCATGTATTTATACGGCAAGCTCAAATCGACAGACGTTTGAAAGGCATTATACAATCATTTTTGAGGCTAAACCATCCTGAAACCAAGCGCCTATGGTCAAAACAGACATAAGGGTGTAATTATGGTCACAGATGAGCAATATTGACCATTCTAGTATATTCTTGAAACGCCCCTTTCAAGAATTTTTCACCCCATATTGTGGAGCCAAGACATGGCGGTGTTGGGTACCACATTTGGACATGCACCTGGCACTTAGGGCCTTTGAGCAGCGAGGGGTCATCTTCGTATCAGCACATACTACGACACGGGACCTCGGTTTTATACGGTCTCATATGAAAGACCGGTCTCAACGTCACGCTGTGGAATTCGAACCTGCTACGTAAGGATCGCGATCGGCTCCTTATTCCGCGATTCTAACCTTTGCCACTGCGAACACAGGCCACTCATCTTTTGAAATTGGGACATAATCGCAGAGTAAAAAATCCTACTAAGCAAGAGTGTGTGAAATACCGAATTTGAAGATTTTCGTCGAAACAATGTATTGAAGAATAATTTAATTATTGCCTTTGGGAAACTATCTGGTAGACTTATCTTTTTCCTTTAAAATAGATTTGCATGGTGTTCATGAGATGTAAAACACATTTTCTGACCTTTATACATGGTCACGTAAAGGTTCATGTAGCTCTTTGTATACGGTATTTATTGTATAACGACCATATTTTGTACATAATAAATGAATATAAGTCATGATATTATACAGAAAATCTGGTCGCTTGAGTGGCTCAGTGGTTAGAACGTCTGCTCTAGAGTCGCGAAGTAAGTGGTTGATTCTTACATGTACGTCGCGGGTTCGAATCCCACTGTGGGGCGCGGAGACCGGTCCTTCGGATGAGACCGTATAAACCGAGGTCTCGTGTCACAGTGGGTGCTGACACGAAAAAGACCCTTCCCTGCTCACTGGCCCTATTTTCGGAGATTAAGTCAAAATTTGCAGCTCTCCATCGGCAAGTGGTGCGGTGTTACACCGTGTCCATATGCGTGAAAAAAGCTAGAGGGACGTTAAACAACATACAATCAAACAATCAGTTGCGTTACAATACAATATTTTACTTATTCCCTAATTCTTGACAAATTGTCTCATTTATACAACTTTGACAAAATCATTTTCCCGTACGGTTTAGATGATGTAAACATTGATGATTGACCTAGAGCAAACCAACTTTTACAAATATAAAATGTATTTACGTGTCTTGTGATGAGCAAAAACTGGAGGTTTTTCGTAGAAGACAATGATCTTGTACATATCATTTTACAGGTAATCTTTAAATAACTGCAATATAATCGTACAATTGTTTATTTTTCTGGTAAAGATATTGAAAAGGTTAAACCCCTCAATAGCATTTACGTTTTGCTGAATATGGAAACGCATTAGTCGTTTTAAACTTGCATATAACAGTTAATATATAATCAGTGTGACTATGACTTTAATTATTTTATGAGTAAATGTATTATCGAAATGAAATGATTTAAATGGATTTTGTATTATTTAAAAAATGAAATGTGAAGATATGAGTTTTCAATTTTATTTTGTAGCATATACTTTACTAATCATGAGTGCATGTTATATTTTAAGAAGGTTATTAAAATATCGAGTATTTAAAATCATTAATAATATTGGATTTTTTATTATGATATAGGGGTTTTTTTTTATTTTAGGTTTCGTAATTATAATGGAAAATATTTTATATGAAAGCTATGTACAAAAGGTAAGGGATATATTGTGTAAACTTATTATATACAGTCATGTATTTCAAAGAAGCATTGCATGTAATCGGTACATAATAAGAATTATTTTATTGGTATAATTTCTGTTTAAAGTATTTAGTTGGGACTGAAAATGAAGTTTAAATAAAAGGCAGATTTTAAAAAAAAGAAAGGTTATTAACGGAATTTGAGTAAGTTACGAATTTATAAATATTTGATTTCAACAATTCAAATCCAAAGATAATGAAGATAATTATTACCTAATTTAATTTAACTCTTTTGGCAGGTGTCTTGGATATTTGCAATTGCGACGCTATTCTTCAAATGCAGCGGCTACCTTCTCCCGCGAATCCCCGGATGTTAAACCGTTTAAAGAAATTCCAGGAGCTACTGGAAAATTTACAATACCATATTACATTGGTAACACATTCCTCTTAAAATCTCTGGGTAAGTAAATCTGCTTTTCTTCCTCTTTTTATTATCAATAATGATTAATTAAAATTAGAAAATAAGTAATTTACAGCACTTGAGATTCTGAAATACTTTATTCAATAAATATTAAGGCACAATTATTATTTGCTACACAAAATACTTATTTAATTAATTGTTCTCCCATGGAATTTGCTTGTATTCCAGGTTGCTCAGAATACCCAGTCGATTTGAAAAAGTTAATGACTGGAATTCATAAAAGATACGGTGATATTGCGAGAATAAGGACTACTACAAACAAATGGGGAGTGTTTCTTTTTCATCCAGATTTTGCAAAAGAGGTTCTAGAGATACAAATAAGAAATCCCTTCCGTCCGCCCATTGATATCCTTCGAATTTATAACGAAAAAGAAAATCTCAGTCAAAGTTTGGCAACGTTGTAAGTATCAATTAATTTTATAATTTATTCAATTCTCATAAAAGTTCGAGAGTTAAAAGAAGAAACGAATAAATTTTACAGGGAAATTTTCGCCGCTGTTCTATTTTAGCCCATATTAACCAACCCTCATTTCAGCGAATTTAATAAGAGTCGAAATCAAATACACAGTATATATTTTCTTTAATAAAACTATGACAAGGCTATATTAAAACGGGGCAAAATTGTATAACTAGTAATTTTCACAAGTGTACTTAATCAGTATTGTGAGTATAGTCTATGTTAAGTTTTCTGTGATGATACTAGCTGTTTTGAGTTTCTTGATTGCATTAGCCTTATATAATTTTAACAATTTAATAAAACAAATTTCTTTTCAAGATAATGTCTTTTAATTTTTCGACAAATTATGGGAATATTGTATTGACTTCATCAAAGGATTAATTGTACAAGAACGATCCACCCAGATAGGTCGTAAATCAAGATTTCATGTTCAAAGAAAGAGGAATAAATACCACAATAAAATATCTTGATTTGAACTTTTATACATTTGTTGCATTTTATTATATTGATTTTATCAGTCAAAATTAACAATATGAATGAACTTATTTCCAGAATTGTACTAAGTATCACGCGGTTAATGGTGGATGTTTTTCCTATTACACTTTTCGTTGATTTTCAATATGTTTTGATTTCTTAGGAATGGCGAAGAGTGGGCCAAGCTTCGCAAACCGTCACAGGAACTGATACTGAGACCAGTCGCTGTGTCTGCATATGTTGGAAGTCTGTCCAAAGTGGCAGACGATTTTGTAGAGAAATATATTCATGGCGGATAATAGATGACCTCCGACCTACTCAACAGAGAGTATGTGGGTCTGTTAAACATCCTGTTTTAAAATAAGATGGAATGACCATAAAGTATTTTGTTATAAGAATATAATAAAAGAATAAAAATATGTTAATGATATATATATATATATATATATATATATATATATATATATATATATATATATATATATATATATATATATATATATATATATATATATAAATCCACACACGTATTGTTATAATAAAAAAATCACAACACCGAAATAAACTCAACCGGTTTCATTTCCAATCTTCAGGAGTTTGACAATACAATGCTTAGTTACACAAAATCAACATTCATATTGTGACGTCATAAAGCGTCAATACTTAGTCACGCTATAGCAAAGTTCATTATGACGTCATGATAATACGTACGTAAGTTATTACGGGAAATTAGATTTTTTTATACAAATAATACAGTTATATTATGCGGGTAAAAGTATATTTCTTAAATGAAATATAATTATGTTGCATTCAAAACAGGTTTATGTCTGTTTATAAAATGTTTTTCTTTAGTTTCACGTTCTTTTTCTGTAGTATCCCTTCGGAATTTGTAGAATGGAAAGACAGTAAAATTAGGGGTTTTATTTTTGGCACAGTTTCTGATGTGTTCGCTTACGGCGGTACACTGGTATCTTGGTTCCCTAATTTGTTGTCGGTGTACGGTCATTCTGTGTCTCAGGGTGTCTCCTGTCTGGCCGATATAATTTTCACCACAACCGGCGCAGGTTATTACATAAATAAGATTAGAACTGGTGCATGACATTGATGTTTTAATAGTAAATACGCTTCCAGTTTTAAATTGAAATTTGGATCCCTCTGTCAGGTATGGGCAAGTACTGCATCTAGGCTTGTTGCATCTATTGATGTTTGCTGGTTCATTGTTGTTAGTAGAAAAGGACGCTTTTGTAAGAATGGATTTGAGAGACGGACTTTGTCGTTTACTCTTAATGATCTGTGAAGTTTCTAATATTTTCTTCATGTCTGGATCGTCCTCTAAAATTGGCAGATTGTTCCTAATAATGCTGAAAATTTCCGGATTTCTTGGGTTATGAGTTGACACGTATGGTATGACATTTTTTGCCTGTTTATTTTTCACTGTAAGTAGATCTTTTCTTTCTTGAGATTTGGCTTTGTTTATTCCGTTTTCAATCAACTGTTTAGGATAGTGCCTTTGAAGTAGTATTTCTTGTAGTTCTGTGAGACGAGATTCCAAGATTTCTGCATCGGAAATTATTGTACAAAGGCGTCTGGCTAAATTGTATGGGATATTATTCCTGGTGTGTCTAGGGTGACAAGAGTCAAATATTAGGTATTGTTTGGTATCTGTTATTTTGTAGAAAACATCCGTTATTAAACGGTTTTCTTTTTTAATAACCATTACATCGAGAAAGGATAACTTATTACTATCCGATTCCATGGTGAATTTCAAAGTCGGGCTCAGGGTATTGAGAATATTAAAAAATTCCATTAGTTGATCCTCACTTTTGTCCCATATTACGAAACAGTCATCTAAGTAGCGTATCCACGACTTCTTTATAAAATTTTCAAAGTCCTGCCCGAATTTTTCTTTCACGGTTAAATACAGTTTTTCTTCTAGGAATCCTAGGACAAGTGTAGCATAAGTATTGTATTGTCAAACTCCTGAAGATTGGAAATGAAACCGGTTGAGTTTATTTCGGTGTTGTGATTTTTTTATTATTATATATATATATATATATATATATATATATATATATATATATATATATATATATATATATATATATATATATATAAGTAAATCTTTTTAAAAAAGAAACACGAAAACCTTTAGTTTGGCTTAAGGTAGGACAAAACAGTATCCGAAATGATATCGTTTCGGAAGCCCTCGCGTAACGCAAACGTTTATGTGATTTAACTTTAAAGCGTTTCAGAGAGGCGTCCAGAGATACAGACGACAACGTCATTTCAAAAGAGATAAACACGGACAGTTCGCAAGCTCGAATCATAGAAATAAAAAGTCGTCAAATCGAGGTGCACATCTGCGTAAAACAAAACTGCAAGCCACAAATCATGAGTATGATGACGAAGCGGTTGTGTTTGATGGTGCACAGGCAAACATTGGATGCGAACTTGAGGTGGGTGGTGGGGCCATATATACGTCGACGAAACATCGGACGATTGGGCAACAGGAAGACGGATTGTAGAATTGGGTCATCTCGCCACACAGATGTTTTGCCACATATGCAAATCCCCACTGCACCTTATTGACACTGTGTGGGAAAAACGCTATGGACTTGGATCCATATTACACATAAGGTATAACCATATATAACGTACATCACTTCTTTTATTGCAATGAGATCTGGGTAAATATAATAACATTTGTGAAAATTCTATAATTGAACAATTTTAAATAAAGTTTATCGGGGAAATTTCAATTGTACTTTGTACATCTTCTAATGCAGAGCAGATTTAGGTAGAGAAAGCCTGTGGACAAGAATACTTTTTGTTTCAAGTTTCCAATTTTGGAACCATTATTTCATTTCCCAGAATACTTTAGCATTTAAAATCTATAAAACAATGATTTTGTTAAAAAAAAATACTCATGGATTAAAATATTTTTTTCAATTATCAACAATTTAGGATTTTCATTCATTGCTAAAAAAAGAAAAATCAATAGAATCACTAAATTTTGAGAAGCATATAAATCAAAGAATTAATTATACCAATGCTTACAAGGGATATGCAAAGATACTTAATTCATCTAAAATTTATCAAGATTTCAAGCGCTGTGGATACAGTGTAGGAATATATTTTAAAAGAAAGAAATAGATAGATCAGTTATTAGCAGGTTAAGACTTAAATTAGTGCACATAACCTTGCCATAGAAAAAAAGGGAGACATTTTTCTTTACCCCATCTCTGTTCATTTTTCCTTAAAATCCTGGCTTACGATTGGTTGAATTTTAGTCTGATACATGAAAGAGGTGGATAACTTATACCTGGTCAGTTGTAAATCTATACCCGGTCTATGTAATACATATTTTTTAACAAACACGTGACATCTTATTAAGCACAGTATAAGTGCGATGAAGCATGTAGCTGAGAGACACATTCAATAAACCGCAGATAATATGTAAATGTTTCATCGATGGGGTAAATTCGTTACATAGCTTTTTAGTGACAGGGTACAGGATGATACCTGGTGAGGCTGGTTAGTAAATTTCATACATGACTCGGCTCCACCTCACCAGGTATGAAATTTACTAAACACGCAGGTATCATCCCGTACCATGTCACTAAAAAACTATGCAACTAATAATACCCACAGATAAAAGATTTTGTAATATTTGCAACACAGGGGGTATTAAAGAGGAATTTCGTTTTCTTTTCAACTTTTGAAAGTATATATCAAACTTGATGAGTTTTTTTCATGGAAAAATATCAAATGTGTTATACTCAATCAAAAAGTAAGCTTTGCTATTGTCCAGAAAGACTGAAAATAACACTGTCAAACTCATTTAATAATAAAATTTGTATTATATAATAAGTATATCTAGAAATGACTGTATTACATGTTATTATTGTACAAATGATGGTATGATTTATAAGCATATATAATTTAATTGCCATTTTTATAGGTGTAAAAACATCACCTGCAATGCTGTTTGCCCAATAGAAACAGGAAAAAGGGGGAGCACAGGAGCATTTGATATCAATTCAAAGGCTGTTCTAGGTATGATCTTTTATGAATATATGTTTTTAGTTCTTCATCATTGTTTATATATATATATATTGTTTTAGTATGTACGTTGTGATAATAGCACATACTCGGATTAAATGAAATTTACCATGCAGTTTTAACCTTGTCGTTAAATGCAAAGATTATAAATGTTTAGAATTACATGTAGAAATCATATTGCTATAAATTTTGATATGAAGTCAAGTAGGGACAATATGTACTCATACTTACAGAATTATGTAGATGTATTTAGTATAAAATTTATTAATAACTTGCATCTAGCTTGTGCCCCCCCCCTCCTCTCCTCTTCCACGTACATGTGTAATCATAAAAAATATTCATACTTTAATTTAAAAAAAAACATTATTGATGACCCTGATCTGTACAAATCAGGAAACGGACATAAGGCAAGCCTGCCTTTTAGAATTGGGGAAATTGATTAGACAATTTCTACATTACAAGAGTAATTTCCCTTAGTTGTTTAAATCTGAGGTCAATCACATACTGTATTTTCTTAATATAATATATCTATACTATTTACTTTAACAGGCAGTGGCGTACAAATTTGTAGGCATTATAAATTATGTTCATTATTTCATTCATGCCCCCATACTTTTCCGGTAGAGAGCTGCACATTTTTTTTGTGCCAGCATTTAGTGTTGCATGCCTGGTCCTTGGCTCATATGGTCTCATCTGAAGGACTGGTCTCCATGTCCCACAGTGTGATTTGAACCCACAACATAAAGATCAACTCCTTTCTTTTGACTTAATATGGAGCAGAAGCTTTATCACTCAGCCATACAGGCGACTTTCAGATCTTTTTGTAATGCATACATGAATGATTTGATTGTAATATTTCAAGACTTAAGTTAATTAATACATTGAAGGTTTTTATTTTTATAATCATTAATGCATTTCAAATGTTTCAATCTGTACCATGTTTCAAAATGTTATTTTTTTTTTTTAGGAATGATCCATGTGGGTATGGGCCCAACCCATCTTATCAACTTTCTTGGGCAGTGCAATATACCCCCTCTCTCAGAACCATCCATAAAAAAGTATGAAACAAGAGTTGGCAAGACCATTACAGATGTGGCTTTAGATTCCTGCAAAGCGGCCCAGGCTGAAGAAAAGCAGATGTCAGACACAGTAAATAGATCAAAAATTAAAATTTTTCATGAAAGAAAAACAAAATTAATGCATATAAAGTTGTTTTTGCTCACTTGAAAAAAATTAATACCATCTTGTGTACAATTTTATGTAACATTGTAGTATTGTGCCTGCTCTAACTTGTTGATATTGAAATAATGTGTTAATTTCATATTGCAGTTGCAGGTTAGTTTTGATGCCGGTTGGCAAAAACGCGGTACAGGTTGGAATTACAATAGCAATTCAGGTAAAGTTATGTGCAATTTCAGCATTAAACACAAAATTCTTAATTAATGTAGAATTGTAATATATAAATCTCTTTAAAAATTTGTGTGTACCATATATGAAAGTGTGTGTGTGGGGGGGGGGAGGGTAATCCAACAAAAAAGGTAAACTCAAAGTTTCAATAGCTTTATTATGTATATATTTGCAAAAGAAGTGGAGGGGGGGGGGCTAAGCGAAAGTTCCGATGCCTATGATACAATGTAATTAATTAAAAAGTCTACATTATTTTCAAAGAATTTTTAAAATCTAAAATAGACAAGTGTAAATTAATTAAATGGTTTTATAATTTTTGACAGGCCATGCCAGCATGGTTGGAAAAAATACGGGAAAAATAGTGGCATATGATGTTAGAAGCAAGTGTTGCAAGACTTGCGATATATACGCAGAAAAAAACATCACTGTTCCAAATCATGATTGCCCTCATAATTGGACCGGAAGCAGCAAAGCCATGGAAGCTGACATGGCTGTTTCCATGGCACATCAACTTGAACAAGATGACTTTAAATTACAGGTAAGTATAACTATTATACAGCTAGTGTATAGAAAAGGTAAAGATATAAAAAAGACTTTTTCATTACATATGATGTATTGGGTTTAAATTATGCATACAATGACATATATGTCTAAATACATATAAAATACATGATTACTGTCTAGAAATATAAGCAATATTTAGGCGATGGTAAGAAAACGTGATAGAGGGTGAGGCTTGCCAGGCCCTCTCACGTTTTTGACCTGAGCCCATCAATATCACTCATTATTTATATTTCAAGACAGTTATCATGTACATTTGTTTATCCTGCAGTTTTTACATTTGAACGTCCAAAACAAGCTAGTGATTATTATTTTCAACAGCTGTGACATTAATTCTGAATATACTAATTAACAACCAAAGAAGCATTTTTTTTTTGTTTAACTTGCAAATGTATGCTCTTGTATCATTAGATGACTTGATCGATTGCAGTACATGTACTGATGGCTGAGATATAACTGATTTATAAATATGTTTTGTTAGGTATTGCATGCAGATAATGATTCTACAACTACAGCCAAGCTTCGCCTGGATTTTCCAGACCTTCTTAAGAAAGATGATCAGAATCATACAAAAAAAGGAATTTCCAAGAGTCTCTATTCGCTTGCTAAGAGGTAAAATTTTGAGAAATTACTGTAAATTCCAGTATTATGGTTAAAATTATTATTAAACCTTGTGATTTTCTCATATTTGAATTTTGCTTCAATTGTGTCCCAATGGCCACAAAATGAAAATAAATTAACTAGAAAATAAAATACAAGGTAACTGCATGTCTTGAAATATACCGGTACAAGTGATATTGTGGCCAAGGTAAAAAAATCTGTTAAAGGTTGAGGGTTGCTTAATAATTATACATACTAAAATGCGCCATTAAATTCTTGAACATTTTATTATACTTTGATGACACAGTGCCCTTGGCAAGTTATGGGTTTGTTGTTCAAATCATATCTCTTGGGTATAGGATAGTGCCACTTTGGGAAGATCATGACATCTTTTATGTGTTTTTTTTAAATTATAGAAAAGACTATATTAATAATCCGATTACAGTGACTTCATAAAATTGAATGAATTATTTTAGACACAAAATATTACAAAACCCAGATGTGATTCCATATCTGACGCGGTGCTTCATGTATCCACTTGCTGACAACACCAGGAGCAATGAAGATGTTGCCAGATCATATGACTGTATTGTGCCCCATATCTTTGGAGACCATTCCAAGTGTGAAAATGAAAGTTGGTGTAGATACAAAGATAATCCATTGAATTACAGGTATGATGCACATGAAATACACCAAAATTTTTGTACTTAATTTCTACATGTATTATTTACATATATGTCAACACCATGAAGTACATGACTTATGGTAAATCTCATGGTCAATACTCAGTTAATATCTACACTGATCAATTAATTTAAAGGATCAAACTTGTATGAAAATTGTCAATTTCAAAAGTTAATCAAATTGTTGTTAATTTTTTATTATTGATTTACACTTAAAATTAAGTGATACAATTATTTCCAACCATGATTTGGTGAGGACACACACATGTATTGTTTTTATTATTATTTTAGAGTTTGGGATGGCACATGTATTGAGATGCAGTACTTAAATGTTCATGTAATTTCATGTTGTACCTTTTTAGATTTACAAGTCTTCCCAATGGAAAGCCTCTCGATGGAGATGAACTCAAGAAAGAATTAGAAACTCTTGTTGAAAAATACAAATCCAGAATTCCCAACATGCGTAACTTAGGATCAACTCAATCAAATGAAAATTTCAACAACATGGTCGCAACTAAAGCACCCAAGAACAGGTAATTAAGGCATATCAAATGAAGGAAAAAAATAAATTTATCGTTTGTTTTTCAGCTAACCTGAGCTAAAAGCTCCATTGAGCTTTTTTGATCACCTGTTGTCAATTGTCAACGAATTCTTCTGTCAGTCTGACAGGTGCCCTACTAAACAACTGAGAATAAACCATGACGTCACAATTGAATTGTGATAAAACCATGATATGCTCAGAGTTAATGTTGCAAACATACCAATTTCAAAATGTAATAACTTTGTTATAAACAAAGATATTTTGATTCGGGTTTCAGTTTCTGTAATGATTTTACATGGACCATTAAAAACACAAAAATCTCAAATTTGATAAATTTTGCCATTAAAGGTTGATTTCTATCTGACGAGGCTCACATATCTTGTTGTTGATATATATATCACACTTTGATTAATTACAGGCATTATTGTGGTAGTTTTTCTCTGAAAAGCAGAATTAGTGCTGCAGTTTTGCAGAAAAACGAAGGCCATAGTTACCTAACTAAAGTAAAGATGAGTTACTTTTTGAGGTCAAAGAATCCAGTGAGCAATACTGATCATATTTAAGTAATCACTGTCTACTATTTTGGGTAGGTCAGGACATCAACAATAGCTGGAAACATGAAATAACTTACAATAATTTTTTCAGTTGTAACGCGTCATTTGATTGGTTTAACGGATTTATCCATTTCGTATAAGACATAACATGCCTACGTCACAATGAGTTACGTCAAAAACGTATCACTCCGCTTGAGCATTTGCTCACAGACTTCTTGTCATTGCATGGTTATCCATGGGGAGGGGACATAAGTGTTTTATAAACATCTCTTGTTAAATTTAAGAAATGAATTTAATATTTGAAGACTCAAAAAGTTATGTACTACCACCTTGTAAATGTCTACATAATTATGTTGCATGTTAAAAATTATAATTTATTTTGTTTATGGGGCAGAAAGATGCCACCACACCATGGGCCTGAAATACATTAATCTAATTAATTAATGTCATGAAATATTATTGTACAGGTTAACAAAGCGAATAAGCTCTCTCCTGGAGTATATACTTCAAAGCTGACGCAAAAGATCGACCAGAGATGAAGAGTAAAGAGACTTCATCAGAGAAGTGCACAGTACAAAAAGAGGAGAATACAACTTCAGAGAGAGAAGAGGAGGAAGGAAAGAATATCAACTACAAGAGAAGGAGTGACGTATGAATCAAATTTAGAGGTCAACTGTGCTAATGTACAAGAGGAAATTCCAGAGTTTTTAGATTTTGAAAGGACTAGTAACTTAGTAACATTTGATCTGGAGACAACAGGTTTGGGAAGAAACAGTGACATAATTCAAATTGCAGCATGTGTAGGGGAGGACACATTTCAAGATTATGTGTTGCCAAGATGCAATATTACAAGTGAGGCTTCTAAAGTCACTGGAATAACATATTGCCGTGGAACAGACACGTTATATTTGCAGGGCAAAGCAGTTTCTGGCAAACCTATACAGGAAGCACTTCTCAACTTCATAACTTTTCTACAATCCAAGAAAAACCCTGTGCTCATAGGCCACAATATAAAGAGTTTCGATTTACATGTGTTATTTCGAAGATTACGAGAATTTAATTTATTTTCAACATTTTGTAAAGCAACCAAAGGGTTTATTGACACGCTTCAATTGTGCCGAAGAGTGATCCCAAAGAAGGAAGTGAACGGATGTTACAAGCAGGAGAATTTAGTAAGAATGCTTACAGGACAGAAATATACAGCCCATAATGCTTTGGATGATGTGCTTAGTCTGCAGACTTTGATTGAATCGAGATTACGTGTTCATATAACCTATGTGGACTTTTACTCTGTTATGTACCACGCATGTATGGCATCATATACACAGAGCCCTGGACAAAAGAAGATAAGCAAATCTGTATGTGAGAAGTTATCAAGAAGTGGCATTTTCCTACATCACATCCAACTTGCCTTCAGCAGAGATTTCAAAGCAGCAAAAATGGTCCTGCAGACTCACAAAATTTCTAACAAACAGATCGAAAATGTAGTGAAGTGTCTTTCATGTGAAGAATAAGAAATTAATGTACATGTACATTGCATTATTATTACTGATGTTTGTATGATTATATATGTATGTGTACATACTGGGTAATACTTCACATATCATCATGACTTTGTGAACTCCGTTAGTCTGATTGGTCAATGTGTGTCATCCTGGATCATAATGACCTACATTGAGTCCTATTCGTATCTTATCTTCTATCCAAATTTAGACATGTTCAAGTAGGATTATTGTCTCTGTATTTTCTTGTGGGCACTGTTCCTTGATTGCATCAAATCTGATCAATGTGGTAGTTTAGCTGCTCTTCATTCATATATTTTTAAAAAAATTTTTTAATCCTGCTCCACATATTGGTCTAGACTGTAATTTCATTTTTAGCTCTACTGGTCAGAGACCAGAAGAGCTTATGTGATAGTAATGTGTCCGGCGTTCGTCTTGCTGTCCATCTGTCTGTCTAGCTGTCCGTCTGTCTGTAAACAATTTTTCAAAATGCTACATCTCCAACAGTTTTGGTCTAATTTCAATATAACTTGGCACACAAGTAGACTACACTAAGATACATAATTCTATATATCGGTTTTTGATTTCGATTAATGGTATTGCCGTGGTAACTAAAAATAGAAATGTCTGTAAAATTGTTCCAAAATGCTACTCCTCTACAGTTTTAGTCTGATTTCAATATAACTTGGCACACAAGCAGACTACACTAAGAACACAAAGAGACTTTACCAAGGATCATTATTCTATTTATTGCTGTTGTTAAGTTTCAATTCCCAACTGCTTAAGTACTTTTCTCTTCCTTTGCTATAGGTACAAACCAGTAGAGCTTCAGTCTCGACAGAGACTTTTGGTTTATGAATGCATTTATTTATAATAATAGACTGCATTTTTTAATTTATTTTCATGTATCATATCCTAATTATAAATGTAATTTGAAGTGCAATACTGGTAATAAGGTCTCCTCCTCATTGAACGTAATTTTACTGTACATATATATATATAATCTTATGATGAAACTGAGTAATATTAATATTTCAAAGCCAAATACCAATATTTACTACAAACAGAACAGTGTTGTTGTTTTCATATATATGAAGAATGAGAATATATAGATGCTGTTGGATAAGCTCAGATTTTCACCTTACAATGAATACTGTACAAAGAGAAGAAAAATTTGAAGAGGGGGATGGGAGTTGGGGGTTGTATTACATGTACATGTATAATTATATTCTATGTAATATCTTATGTATAAATATCTGCCTGATTTTTGATATATTGAAGACATTGAAGGTGAAGAAATATAAAGGACAAAAAAATTGAAATGAAAAAGTTTAATAAATGATACAGACAGGTGATTCGCTTTGAATATTGATGAGTGTGTGTGTCTGGGGGGTGGAGGGGGGTTAGACCTTAATTGTTTATTTGCAACTCCCATGGTTGGATTCTTTTCAATTTTATAATTTTACATTATTATATATCAAAGTTTCTTATATTAGTTGTTCTTTCAATTTGAATTATAGGTTCCTTTTTTTTGTTGAGTTTTAGTATGGTGGAAAGCACATAAATGTGTCCTTCTTACTTACACTGTGCCCTTATTGTTCTGCCATACACAGCAAAAGAAATCTTGTGTAACCCCCTATGTATAAATATCTGCCTGATTTTTGATAAATTGAAGACATTGAAGGTGAAGAAATATAAAGCACAAAAAAATTGAAATGAAAAAAGTTTAATAAAATAAATGATACAGACAGGCGATTCATTTTGAATATTGATAAGTGTGTGTGTCGGGGGGGGGGGGGGGGGTTAGACCGTGTTTATTAGTAATTCCCACGGTTGGATTCTTTTAATATTTATACTTTTACAATAATATATATCAAAGTTTCTTATGTTAGTTTTTCTTTCAATTTGAATTATAGGTTCTTTTTTTTTTTAGTTTTAGTATGGTGGATAGCACACAAATGTCCCCTTCAAACAGACCCTTATGTATAGTTCTGCCATACACAGCAATTAAAACTTTCCATTAATTATTGTTTTTTCATTATGTTGTTCTTTTTTATGATGTTTTCAATAGACTGGAACAAAAAATTTCAAGATTGGTGACAAATTTGTTTCAAAACAACTTACATTTTGACAAAGAGTGAGAAAATTTGCCCTTTCTATCCAAAGTGTTTTGGGCTGAAATTGTGGTGTTGATTACAAAATATCTAGCGGTCAAATTTCAACTAAACTTTGTCTGTGGATAAAGCTTATCATAGTTGTAAAATATTGCAAATTTCAAGAAAATTGAATTACGGGAAAATTTTTGGCTATCTGTTTTGTCCTACCTTAACATTCTTTGTGCCGCGGGCCTATTTTGGGCCTATCTTCAAATACTACGTTAAGTGCCGAGGGCCTATTTTGGGCCTACCGTTAGCTCATTTACGTCACAAGTAAAACTGATTATGACGTTACGTAATCATTCCGAGTTTCGCGCCATTTTGACCTCTTGCTACAGGAAACTTATTTTGCCTTTCTTCTACTGAAAAAAAAAACATATGTAGGAAGGAATGTTAAACAGGTGTATTATTTGTGTTGGTCATTAGAAAATGAAAATAGTACATTCTAATTTTAAATAATACAATTTTGTTAGTATTTTCAATCTTCGTTTAAACGATGCAAGCAATCAAAATTCATTGGGAGAAAAAAATATTCAGCGTGTCTTAAAAAATGGGAATAATTTACCATTACTCATAAAAAACTTAATGTTTTGATTGTGGAAATACTAGTAATGCTATATCATTTGTAATTTCTAAAAAAAAGAAAATTTAATCTTTAATCGGCATGATATATTATAAAGTTTAATATTGTTACATAAATCCTTGAATGGCTTTTTAACGGACTATAAAAATGTTTTAAAGTTTCATCCTCAGGAGCATAAAAAGGTAAAGGGTTTATTTTATACATGTCACATAATTAAAAAAAAGTCCACGAGACAATGAACTTTACAGAGAAACCTTCAATTTTGGAATACATGTTGCACAGCATCGCCAATTGCCGGAAAAGACCGCTTATGTATGTCCTGACCAATTATGGCTCTTTTTTCTGCAAGAAACGACTACGACATAGAACCTCTGCATGCATGTTTATACGTATGTTCCCATTCGAATTCTATCCATTCTGTTTGTTCAAAAGACCAACAGAGATTTAATTTCTTTTCGGAGCGAATTATTAATTTTAATTGCCGGCAAGGGGGGGGGGGGGGGGGTAGCCAGGGTCGGAATTTTTTCGCTGGCTTTTTCTGTTAGATCATATAAATAAATGAAAGAATTATGGTAGGTATTTACAATCAAAGGGCAGGAAAGATATTATGTCTGTCGAAATTGGGACAAGTACCACTACCCACCACCCCCGGGCAAATACCTCTGAAATCTTGATTTTCTCGAGATCTCAGCTTTACTAAAACTGGTAGAAGTATATTATTTATTTTCTAATAGCTATGCAAACGATTTTTTTGGTTATGTATTTTTTTTAAATCAATATTTAAAAAATATCATTACTATACTATTAGATAAAATTATTACATAAGCAAATGACCATGATTTAATTAATAAAATCTATAGAAAAATGATGAAGTAAGTTTTTTTTAATGCACCTAAACGTTTACACCTCTTTATTTGATTGAATAAAATAATCAACAGATTGCACCCGAGTTTCCGGTCAAGGGTGAAAAGACGACGAAAACATACGAAGTAACTTACGTCTTAGTCGTGTATTCCAGGTTATATTTTGAGAACACGATTAGAAAAAGTGATAGTATTAAAAGATCAACATAAACGTGTGAACAAATTTTAAAAAACAAAATTCATAACAATATAAGTGGTTTAGGGAATGGAGTGAGTCTGCAAAGGAAGGTGTACTTTTTCTGAGTTTGTTTACAGAAAATCTTTATTTTGATACCCCCCCCCCCACACACACACACACATACACTCCCATAAACACTTCTGCAATGTTCTAGATTTCTTTTTCAGAAAAGTTAACCAAGTTACCCCATCCCCATCACACACATACGCACGAAATAGTATTATGAGAACAATTTAGGGGGTTTTTTTAAGGGGGGGGTCCGATCGACTTGTGAACCATTTCTACAGGGCGCGTTAGTTGCAGAACTGTAGCTCTCAGAAAAAATGTTTTGACAGACCGGTATATCAATATATGTATTTTCGGAGAACTACATGCAGTTCTGCATATACTGGCAGGGTACATTTGACATACATGTATTAATTATGTAAGGTCTTTATGTAAGGTCTACGATAAATAATATAAACAGAAATGAACGAATGAAGAAGTACGATAGAATTTACAACGATAACTCAGGAAAACTTATGAAAAGTTAATTACATGTATTTATAACTGTGTTTCAATTACACTGCATTTGTAAATATTTTATTTTACTTGTATTCCGATTATTATTATGCAATATATATATTTGACCCACAGGTTCTTGACGTAACGTTAAATTATTTTTCTTATTAAAAAATAATAAAAACCCACCTATTTAATCTACTGAAAATATATTATTTGTGCATAAATTTTGCTTGTATTGTAAATATATTTTTTAAAGGTCTTGTCGTTTTGTAGAATTTATTCTTTATTGTCTGTATTTAAACCATTTTCTGCAAAAAGTGAAAGCCGAAAACGTCTTATACCTTGACCAACTTTGTTTGTGACGTCACAGTAACGTTACGTCATAGATTTAACGTAATAAAAAACTGTCACGGCACTGTAAGTAATTTGAACTCCAAATCTGTACGGCAGCGAAAAGGTTAAGCGCTTTCATTTCAAATCTTCAGAAGCTTTATAATACGTAACATAGCAACATAACGTCATAACGTCATGATAAGCGGAACATTACATACAAACGTCTATTGTGACGTCATAGTCAAACTTTGCGGGAAAACTGTAGAATGAAAATAATAAGTACAATTTTTACAACAATTATGCTCAATTGTTCAGTCTAGGTTTGAACAAATGTATAAAATGTTTTTCTTTCTCACGTCTCTGAATATCACTTTCACTTGAAAGTTTGTAAAAAGGAAATATAGTGAATTGTTTATTTCCACAAGTATCCAAATGTTCACTCAGAGGGATTTGCCGATATTCCGGAGAGTTAATATGTTGTCGGTGGACACGCACCCGGGCACGCAATTGATTGCTCGTTTCCCCGATATAAAATTCTTGGCATCCAGCACACGTAATTACATATACTACATTTTTAGTGGCACAAGACATGTTTGCATTGACTGTAAATTGTCTTCCATTAAAGTCATAAGTTGATCCTTCCATTATATGTCTACACGTCCCGCAACGCAGTGGGCCATCCTCGGGAGATATAACTGCTAAGGAGAAAGACTATCTCATAAACTTTGAAACAAAAGAGAGTCAATTTTACGGATTACCAAAAGTACACAAGTCATCAGAAATCAAAAACGCCATACAGGCTCAGAGAGGAGAGTATATTTGCTGTCTAAATCCTGAAGATCTCTCTTTTCGGCCAATCGTAGGAGGGCCTAATTGTTCAACTCAAAGACTGAGTCACTTGTTAGACATTTTATTAAAGCCTTATTGTGAAAAGGTTCCCAGTTTTATAAGAGATGATATAGATTTTATCAACCACCTACCAGAACATATTCAACCTAATACGAAACTCGTGTCATTCGACGTCGTGAATTTATACACAAATATACCCGTGGACTTGGGTATAAAAGCGGTTAAATACTGGATTGATAGATACCCAGACTTACTACAGGATCGTTTTGAGCAAGAATTCATCTTAGAAGGATTAAGAATTATACTTCAAAACAATACATTTGCCTTCGGAGTAGAGCATTTTATTCAAACCAAAGGAACAGCGATGGGAACAAAAGTGGCTCCCACGTATGCCACCATAACCTCGAGCAAAAACTCCATCAACGACTTGTCACACTATGGGGAGAAGAGGACGCTAAAGCTATAACATCAAAGTGGAAACGATTTTTAGATGACTGTTTCATTCTTTGGAATGACAACATTGAGAAATTATCAATTTTCCACCAAGTGTTAAACGACTTAGATTCCAACATTAAATTTACCATGGAAAGCAGCGATTTGGAATTACCATTCCTTGCAATTGACGTTCTTGTCATCAAAGAAGATACCAAACTTTCAACGGATATCTTCTACAAATCAACTGACACCCACCAGTATTTACATTTTGGATCCTGTCACCCTCATCACACAAAAACAGCAATTCCATACAATCTGGCTAGACGTTTATGTGCTATCGTTAGTGACGAAAACACC